AAAACCAGTATGATTTGATTTTTTTACCAATGTTTATTAAAAGCTAAATAAAAACACAGTATTGGTTGCTTTTAGGAACCAAATACCAAGTCGGACTCGGTAAATATGAAACTTTTTGTCACTGACTGAATCCTAATGCCTCCCACTTCAAGTGTCCTGTCACATACTAACTTATTACTAAGCTATTCATGCATATAGGTTCCAACGAGTAAAAATGTTCCTTGTAAACTGTAAAAGTAGGTTTTACATTCTTTTTGTACTATGCCAATCATAATGCCTTTATCATAAGATAATTGAAAAATATTCATTCATTGGATTATGAATTTTAAAAAGCAAAACATTTTTTCAAAAGTTGTTTTGTTTGCTTGTTTTTAAAGCACATCCATGACTGAAATGGAAAAAGGATATGACAGTTCGGTTATAGGTATGATTTTACAATTATGCAAAATGGACAGATCTCCCACAATTTACTGAGGAAGGTGTTCTCAAATATTTGATCTGAGCTTAAGAAATGCTCCCTTGATGCTAACTACACATTGGCGTTTCATACACCTCGTAAGTATGCTGGAGGGCCCACTGGTGGTGGCCAGATGCACCAGGCCCAGCTCCCACAGTGAGTCCTGGCTCTTCTGACTTTTCACAGGTTGGGTGTTGTTCCTCTCCCTAGAATGTTGGAAAAGAGCCTTACTCCTCTTGGTATTTAATGATAAGCAGAAATACATAAACGTGCATGCTGTTTGCCAAGCGGAACTGAATGCTCATGGCTTTCCTTCAGACCGTAAGGAGAACCCTAAGAATCCCTGTCACAAATAGTTATTGTTTGTGAAGCATTTAAAGCCTGTTTGAGTCAAAAGACTTTAAAAAGCTTGTAAGAAAAAGGAAGTTCTATATTATAGATGTTCTTTTCCTCCTGGTGGAGGACAATCAAGATTAGATTCCACATTTCCTAAGAAAGCCGGGACACTCCCGCTGAAGGATCATTCCCTCTTCTGACTTCTATTTGCAGGAGCAGCTTGTATCGTTCATTTAACCCTTTGCCAGTAGTCGCCCATACATACTCTTCTCCCCAGCTGTGCAGGAAAGTGCAGACTGTATCTGTACTTCTTTAGATCTTCCTCTCTGTCTGCACAAAGTAGCTACAAAATCAGTTTTGATTGATAGGTAGTGGGTAGGTAAGAAAAAATATCAGACCTTTAAAAATTTCAACTTTCACAGCTTGCATTTCTTAGTTTACAAGAAAACATAGATTCTTCTGCTCCTCTAAAAACATTTGCATATTTAAAATTTTTTTTTAATGTTTTAATATTTACATAATTTGTTAAATAGTACATACATTTATTAAATATTTTAATATTTAAATTATTAAAATATTTAAAAGCACATGCCTAGAATGCTAGCCACACTGGAGATAAATATGGCAGTTCAGGGAGAGAGAGAGAGAGTGACAGAGAGCAAGAGAGAGAGAGAGAGACAGAGAGAGGGAGTTAAGTTATTGTCTAAACTTTTCACAATCATATGCTATTTTCAGGCTACCATTCAATATCAGATATGTTGCCATCTTATTATTTATGACTCGAAAAAATTATAAGTGCAACTGGCTGTACATAGTTATTTAAGTTTATAGTTTTACACTTCCCCTGTCTCTTTCACTAAGTCATAATTTGTGGGGACAAGGAACGGGCTGCATCTTATTTTGGAGTTGTAGGAAAAGCACATCATTTGGCTGACCCGTCAGGATGGCCTCAGCAAATGGTTTACCTCTGAGTCTAATTTTCTCATCTGAAAAATTACAAAAGTGATCTGTGGTAAGGATTCCCAAAAACGTATGTAAAGTGCCTTTTCCATGGTAGATGCTCAACATACAGTAGCTATCGCTATTATTATTCCCTTTTTAAAATGTCATCAACAGTGCTTAAACTATAGCTGTTCATGTTCCATAAATTGTATTCACTGATTGCATGAAAGGAAAGCAATGAATGTCTAATATGGACTTTGTTTTTCTACAAATATCAGCAAAAATCATCATTGTTATGTAAAATCATTCATTCTTTTGTACTTAAAAAATGCTTCACCAGAGATACACAAGCAGAACAGATGAGGCATTATACTGGACCATCACCAAGTATGCGTCACTATAATATACTCTGATTCCCATGCTCTATATTACACATAGCAGAAAAGGCACATGGAGAAATCTAAGGATGGAGGAGCTGCATTTCTTTATGACCTTATTTGAAAGATAAACTCCTTGGGGAAATACAATTTATTCAGATTATCAAGACCCTGCTGTGCAAATCTACAGTCTGGGAGCACGCTATGGAGATCAAAAAATATTTACTTTATTCTGTTGGGTATAAAAGCTTTTAATGAATGCATAATTAAGGCAAAAAAAAAAGTGTATACAGCTTTAGAAATTCCACTGCTGAGCCAAGCCATTAATATCCAAGGCGTTATACCCAGTTGTGATTCCACCTGTTTCCTATTTGGATTACAACCTAGTTATAAATCAAGGTATTACGTGACTACACAACCTGGCGCTGCAGAAAAGGGCTGCACTCCAGGACTAGAGGAAGCAACAAAGGGGCTTTGTTGTGGATATGTGATGAAGCACTGGCCCTTTGGATCATGGTGAAACAAATAAACAAAACCCAACCCTTTTAATAGCCTTGGGATGAATCGTGTAGAAAAGAAATATGTCATGTATGTAAAAGGATCTGCGAGTTTTCTCCCTAATACCTTATACCAGAGTTAATAGGATAAAGTCCAATTGTTATAGAAAAAAAAAATGAGCAATTCATTGACAATGCAGGCCAGATTCCTCGTGATATGATAAAATAATGTAAAATCGGATATTCCATTTAGAGATATATAGGTATATTTGTACATAAGCATATCGGACAACTATATGCAACCATATATTCATATATTGATATAAATATGCATATGATACAATTTGATGAAAAATATTAACAACAATTCAAAATAAACAAGAAAAATTCCTCAGCATGTTCTAATTCTTAGAGTCTTTGAAGAACTATTTAAATATATTTGTGCTGTATAACAGAGGAATTCTACAATTAGGTTACTAGTACATTTTCATAATCAATTGTATGCATAATATCCGAGGCTCATGAATAATTTTATATTGTTCCTTGAGAAAGTCTGTAGTAAGCTGGAAATCCAGTCGGAAGGAAACACAGAGACACAGACATCGCCAACAACTATTGATAATAATTCTGGCCCCAGTCACCATGTGCTGCACGCAGAATGCTATTGCAAAGTTTCCTGGAGCTGCCTCAGCACATCTGGTGATTACCACTGAATTATGGACGATGTGAAGGAAATTAATAAAACAGTCTATCTGGGCAACTAGGACTTTAAAACTAAAATTTCAATACCGCTAAGCTTTTTTTGAACTATGAGAGGCAAAATCAGGTTAAAATGTTTAAAAAGAATAGAACATAGAAGTAATTATATTTCCTTAGCTCTGATACACAAAGTCAGAATGCTGGAAACCAGACCAGTTCTGCAGACTTTCAATAATCTCTCAATTATCCACAAAGACTGTTTCCCTTAATGATTATTTTGCAAAAGCATGAGGGCTAGAAGTGGGGATTTTTGTTTGTTTGTTTCAAATCTGTATTGTTTTGGCTTTTTATATTTTGAATGCTATGAAGGATACATAACATCGACATTTTTATAAGTACACCAGTTCAAATTTATCTGAATGTGATGATGCTTTCAAAATCTGAATATCAATGATTTAACAGGCGGGTAATTGAAGGGAAGCAGTTTGGCAACAGTGTCTAGAGCAGAGGTCCTTAAACTGTGGTCCCCAGACCAGTAACATCAGCATCATCGGGGAAATTTTTAGAATGCAGATTCTCAGGTTCCCTCCAGACCTCCTGAATCAGAAACTCTGGGGGTGGGGCTCAGCAGTCTGTTTTAACCAGCTATTCAGGTGATGCCACCCACAGTCAAATTTAAGAACCATTGATATGGAAAATGCATTTGAGTGAAGAAAGGAATGACTCTAACCTGCAGAAATATCTTCTTGCAGCAAAACTAATTGTAAGACACCAGCCCCTCATCCTGGCCTCTGAAGTGGCACACATTATACGGAATGTATACGGCTGAAGCTAGAGTACTTAGAGCTGAATTAAGGACACAAGAAATAGCCGTCATTTACCAGGGTCCCAGCGCCTGCCCCTTAATGTGCAGCAGGAAAAAGGTATGCAGCCAGCTCTAAAGGGTATTTGTGCATAGAGTGAGAAAGGGGGTGGAGGAGTCTAAGAAGGAGAGACAGCGGATGGGAGGTGTGCCTGTGGACAGCGTCTCCTAGTAAGGAATAACTGATATTTTTCTTCTTTTAAATTACCCTGCTCTTATTTCCACTACTCAGGGCGCTTAGAACACATGCAACTATATTATAAAAAACTCCCATCACAGGGAGCTCTCATGGCACATGGAGAAGGAACCCAAACAAACAACATGTGTTTCCAAGCAATTACGAAGCACTAGAGCTAGAAACGAAAGATTTTTCCAGTTGTTTCTTGGATTCTGTATATGAGGATGGGGGCAAGCTGTTTTATTTGCAGGGAGGGCAGGGGAAACAATAAAGCAAAACTTCCTATTTATAAAGCATAAATATCATGTGATGTGTTGCTTTTAAAAGCATTGATTTTACTATTTATTAAAGTTCAATTTCAGTATGATGTTTTCACATTTCAGAGGCAGGGAGAAAGTGATGGCTCATTTATTTGTGACTTTTAAAAAATAATAATAATACATGTACTTCTACAAAATCAAAGAGAGGTGGCTAAGAGGAAGAAATGCCATTTACTCAACGGTGACTGTTTCCAAAAGTTTCGGGAACAGGCATAGCCATTATGTTGTTGATTGAAAGTACACAGTAGAGTCACTGACATTTCCAGAAATGAGGGCAAACGGGTGAGGGGAGTGGGTAGGAAGATCACTGTGGAATTAACAGAGGGACTCACATATGAGGCATTCCATTCTGTTGGCTCTGGCTTCCAGGGTACCCACTGCGTGGAGGAGGCTGTGCTGTAGGATACTTCGCATGGATACTTTACTATCTCATCGAATCCTCCAACAGCCCTAAGAAGTAGATTGTATACAGGATCCCACATCTGTATTTCATAAACAAGGAGTGGGTGCAAAGAGGTTAAGGAACTTGTCCAAGGTCACATAATTCTGAAACATGAACTTATATCATGGTAGACAGATAAGTAAATCAACAGAAACAATGGGGTGTGATCAGCACCCCAGAAGACTGTTACTAATGAATGAAAAGGAGGGACATCTACCCACAACGAGGTGCACTGATCAACCGACTCTGCAAAGGGAGATGAGCAGAGTACTTGAGGGATAAATACGAATTCATAAGATGACAGAGCAAGGGAAAAATAACCCTCGGAGAAGGAGGCTTCGAACGAAGAGGTTTAGGTACAGGGAAATGCATGAAATTCGCAATGACTGTGGCATAACGCACAGGTAGTAGACTGTTATTTTTAAAGGTTAAAGATATAGGAAGTTTCATAATAAAGATGAGACCTGTGTGCCAGCATAAGAACAAAGAACTTCATCCTGAAGGCGCTGGTGAACCGCTCAATGAATACCTTTAAGCAAGAGTCTGACATTATCAGTTTATTCCTTTTTAAAAATCAATTAAACAGAACTTTCCATGGATTTAGAAAAACCTCTTAAAAATCAGTCGAGCAAAATTTTCGAGAAGGTGCTGGGGTGGGGCAAGAGTGAAGGCAGCAAGTTTGCTGGTTAGCAGAAAGTTTCTTTGGTCCAGGAAATAAGTGTGCTAATAACGTCTTATGAGCATTAGATACCAGGGAGGGAGCACAGTAGATGGAGCTACTGCAGGAATGTGCAGGAAGAGTAATCTATACCTGAATGATGTCAGTAACAATGAAGAGAACGAGAAGAAGGCATATCTGAGAGCTATTTAAGAGCCTAAACCAGTACCATTTCATAGGATTCATGCGATCATACGAGCAGCGTTAAGATTCCGCCGAGGTTTCTGGTTTGAGTTACTTTATAGGATGATGGTTCCTTGATTAACAAAGATGAGATGGAGCAGTTCTGTGAGACTGGACACGGATGCATTTGAGATGCACGTGGAATGTCAGCTGAAAATGTTGGCTGAACACAGAAGTGTGGATGGCACTCAGGAGAGGGGACTGGGGTAAATAACCTCCATGCGTGAATGAAAGAGTGATGGTGAGGAAAAGAGATGCGCAATCGCAGAGAGCCACCATGCCTGGAAGGATGCTCAAAGAGCTGATCAAAGAAGAGCTTGTAAAGAAACTGAAAAGAGGTCCAAGAACAAGGAGGAAAGAGAGGTGTAAGCAACAGTGGAGCTACCAGTGTGAAAACGCTGTAGAGGGGTCATATTAAGATGCCATGAAAGGCCCACTGTGTCTGATATTTAGGAGGCTTTGGTGACATTTGTCACAACAGCTTTTGAGGCAGAGAACAGAGTTCATTCAATAGGATTGAAGAATGAATAAAAGGTAAGGAAGTGCAGACACTGATCACAGCTTGGCAGTGAAAGGAAGGAGAGGGTTGCAGTAATGTGAGAACAGGAAAAGTTCCTCCCATCTTATTGATCTATTTATAAACTGAAAAAAAGGTGCCAGTGGAGAAGGAGACATTGAAACCATAGGATACAGATGGTACCAAACAGTTTAAGGACAGAAAGGTAGTTTAGCCTTAGAGAAGAGAACAGACCTTCAACTATGTATAGAAATTTTTGCAGGTAGAGGGGGGTATGGGAGAATAAATATTTCAAATGAAACATAGGTGTTCTTTTAATGCCTTTAATTTGCAAGTATTAATAATGGAATTAAGTGAGATTGATATTTGTTTCCTTTGTTTATTGATTCTGAACTCTAGTATTAACAAAATGCTGGAAACATTTTACTTTTGAGAAAAATACGCTGAGAGTGATTTTTGCCTAGCTACCAACAGTTAGCTTAGGATAGAAATGATTAATACTAGAAAAATCCTTCAAGATTATCTGTCTTCTCTTTAGAAACACACAAACAAGGGAGACATAGTCAATGCCAGATTATCCACATAACAAATTAAAATTCCACAATGCCTTCCCTGGCCAGGAAGCAGGCCTCTGGGCTGTCACTTACTGACATCCTTTCGTGTGGGCTTAGGGAATAAAAGCCAACATAATAACATATGAAAAAATTAATTGGGATCCTAAAATGGCTACTGAAATATTTTATGATACATTTCAGAGGCAAATATTAATATTCATGATATTTGGCAAATAAGATATTCTAGATAATCCATGCCGGATAGTAAATATTCTTGATTAGAACAAATAATTAGTAGTTGGCTATGATTTAGTAGAGCTGATGCATTTCAAACCTTTCTGATCATTTTCACTGATTAAAACAATTTCCCAAAAAATTAAACCATGTGTAACGTATTTTCCAAACTATGTACTTTAACTTTCTCCAAACGTGAGAGTATCAGCTCTAGTGAACTATGCAACAGCACACGGTTAGTGTATTTGATTAGGGGCATAGTAAATATCTATGTTGGTACAATCATTTGTCTTATCTAATGTGGAAAAAAAATAACTCAGTGTTGGGGAAAAATGAACATGAGTTATAATTTCTTCTAAACCTTGAGGATAAATTATCCCATCTAGAACACCCACTATACATTATGTATTTAGGAGATACTGTTAATTTAAAAATGAAAATTATAATAATACATTGTTTGGAAGATAACCTCCTATAAATCACTGCAGTATTACTTAGTTTAAAAATGATAACCTATTATAGTACTGTAAAATATGCAAGCTCCTCAGTGCAAAATGCAATCCCCATAGAGAGTATCTCCATCTTAAAAAAGAAAACTGAATCGTGCACTGTTGGTGGAAATGTAAACTGGTGCAGCTACTGTGGAAAGCTGTATGGAGGTTCCTCAAAAAATTAAAACTAGAACTACCATATGATCCAGCAATTCCATTCTGGGTATTTTTCTGAAGAAATGCAAAACGCTAATTGGAAAAGACTTATGCGCCCCCATGTTCACTGCAGTCTATTTACAAAAGCCAAGATACGGAAACAACCTAAGTATCCATCAATGGGTGAATGGATAAAAAACTTGTGATATACATACACAAACATATGTACATATATATGTACATATGTTTGTGTATGTATATCACAGAAATGGAGGGTGGGGGGGTAGGAGAAATGGCTGAACTGTTTTTCTTAATTTAAGTAAATTAAGGAAAAACTATAAAGAATATAAAGGGATTATTGGAATATAGGGGTCACGGCCTCTCTCCCCAAAGACTTCGACTTGCTTGGTTAGGGCACCTTAAAGCTCTCCTGGTGACTGAAATGTGCACCCAAGGTTAGACATGAGTAACCCTGATCAGGGCATGAGCTTTGTGTCCTTCATAGACATGTGGCTATTTTTAAATTCCCCATCAAAGCCGCCGATCAGAGGCTAGCAAGGTGGAATCAGGAAGCACAACTCTGGAGGTTGTCTCCTCCCAGTTTACACGAGCTACTTCCTAGGTCTGGGATGGCCCTGGGCATTGTAATCTGTCACTTACTTGTTGGGTGGGACCCAGCCCACCTGATGCTAAATTATAAGCTCCACAAGAGCAGGGACCCCAGTTGTCTTCTTCATCACTGCATCCCACTGCCTAGCACAGCCCCTGGCACACAACAAGCACTGGGAGTATTTGCTGAATGGATACAGTCGAAGCCATTAGTCTTTCATGTGGGGAAGTGTTATGGCCAAATATGCATTTTACATGGATTCTCCAACTGAACTTTGTATACAGGACTTAAGGATGGAAACAGAGAGGTGTTTGTTTTTTTTGTTGTTGTTGTAATAGTCCTGGCAAAGTTAAAAAGGAATATTGGAATGTAAGGAATAGATAAGGTTTACAATTTTTTGAGTTAAAATATATAGGATTCCAAGACAAGAAGCATGGTTTATTGTTTACAGAACATCTGTTGGTTTTAATTTATCATTAGAATCCTCAATTATCTGATTAAAATACATTAAAGAAACAACTTCAGACTTCTTAATGCTACCTTTGTCCATTTCTTCTCTTTCCTCTTCTTACTATTCATCATGAGCTGAATGTTGTCTGGCCCAGAGCCATAAAATTGAGCCTTCATAGCAGCCCTCCCCATCACACTGAAGTGACAAGTATTAAATCAGACCCAAGCAGATTCTGAAGGCAAAAGCAAGTTGCAGGAGCAAGTGGCTTAGGTGCCCACAACTCCTACTCTGCTACCTTGCGTCCTCTCTCAACCTACACCTATGGCCTCAGGAAGAGTCCCCTATGACCAGCTGATTTAGAAATGAAAAGCTCAGGCCGACTGTATGGGTGGTTGTGCACAATATGCTGGTGCCACCCTAAAATGGGCAGCTGGAGCATCACAGCCTCGTACAGGATGGCTCTGAAGGGCAGTGGTTAAGGTGAATCCTTCCAGCAGGTGGAACTTCAAGCAAAGTCTCTGGTTGTCCATTTTTCCCAGAATGAAATATGGGCAGTGATAGCATGAATCCTGGCTACCAGTTTGGCTAGATGGTCAAAGATTTGGAAGGAATACAATTGGGAAATTGATAACAAGAAAGTCCTGGGAGGAAACATGTGGATAGGCCTCGCCAATGGACAGAGTGTGAATATACTTGTCTTACATGGGAATGCTTACCAAAGGGCAACTTTATCACAGGACTAGAAGAGCAACCTTGTGAATGTCTGATAGCCTCTTTCCCCAGCCACTCATGGCCTTGCCGAATGGACTCTTGAACAGAGTAGCTATGGCAACAAGAATGGAGTTTATATGGGGGCTCAGCAACATGGGCTTCCACTCAGTAAGGCTGATGTGACTACAGCCTCCATTGAGTACCCAAAATGCCAACAGCAGAGATCAACACTGATTCTCAACATGGTACCAGACCCCAGGGAGATCAGCTGCTCCATGATAGCAGGCTGACCACTTTTTCAGAGAAGACAGAGAACTGTCTTCTCTCTGGAATAAACAGGTACTTTGCAAAGAGGTTTGCTTTCCCTGCTCACAATGATTTTGCCAAAAATCACAATCCATGGAATATAAAATAC